TAAGTATAAATTTTGTGTAGATAATCACTAAAGATAATTTTCGAGGTGTTTTCTAGACATTTACCCATAAACTCCAAATGATAAATTTCGTGAAAACAACCCAACCCAACCAAACCCAACCAAACTCTTAAGAGTGATAAAATAATTTTTTTTTTATTAACAGATATTCTTTTTTTAATCCCCCCCCCAAAAAATATTAATAATAAAATTTATAACCCAATATTTTAACTCTACTTATGAATTAAATTTTTCATTCTTAATCTAATTTTTCCCTTAATCTAAAATACATAATTATTATACATTTTTTTTTTACAATCTTTTTCGTTGTTGTTCACTGTTATTGCTTCTATAGTTTATTGAATAGTTTATTGTTCTTTTCGGTTAGCTTCTTGTGATAAACCAAAAATATAAATGTAAATTAAAGGAAATAAAAAGATCTATAAGATCGGACTTGATGGTGGAATTTATAGTTTATAATTTTATATTAATTTATTAATGGTTTATTGTGCAAAAGATTTTTGGAGGTTCGTAAACATAGGTTAAATTATACTTACCTTACGTCTTATGTAATACAATAATATTTCAAGTAATCCAATGTTGATTCTGGTGTTAAATGCACTACATACACGATTTACACTACACGTCATATCGTCCACCAAACCCAACCCAAACGTCCTACGGGCCTGTCAGTGAAGTTCGTTGGCAATGTTCTTATTCATAACGCCGATGGTATCTGTTCAATGTAACCTGATTCCAGCAACTCTTCCAAAATAGAAACGATTTCCGCTAAAACTCCAGTGCTGCCAGTCGACTGGGCTGATATCAATAAACGTAATTGTTCCACGAGCTCATTAGGATCGTCCCAATACACCTAATCTTTTTACTTATTATTCAATCTCAACTGTAGACCCGCAACGATAATGGATGTGTCATTGATGTTGCTGCTGCTGCTGTTTTCAAGCAACGGTAAGGAATTGTTTGCGTTATCACCTTCATTGTTGTCAAACAGTAATTTAATAGTGTTCACATACTTTTGTCCTTCTTTTTTCCGTCTTTATTTAAATGCATACCGGTTTTGACAAGGATCATTTTGTATGCATGCAAATCCGATTTGGAAAAATGACTAGGGTTTCTCGAAAACAGTAAATCCACAAGACCCATAGTCAGCGGGAATTTTTCATCTAAAACATTAAATTTTCTTCTGTCGAGAAAGATATTATTGGCTTCACCTAATGTTCCATCCGGTGATACCTTTGGTCCATACATTTAATCTCTGTTGGGGTTCATTGACCATTGATACATGTACTGATGGAAAAACCCATTATCGTGTTCCCCAGTATATCTATCATCGTTTAAACTCTTGATAATTTGCTGTAATTGTTCTTGTTGTTGTTTTTTCTGTTGTTGCTCTTGCTGTGACGCAATTTTATCCAATGCTTCAATGATTGATACCAACTAACGTTTTACGCAAATCAATGAATCCGTTTCACTACGATGCAATTCTGTGTAATTTATTTTAACATTTTCCCGGGGATCAGTCAATAGTTTCAGCAATGTTTCCCTATCACCACTCATATTATAATAAATGTGTCAAACTTGTATCTGTATCGTCCATATCCCGTGCAAATACATCAACTTGCTTGTGTCGTCTTCGTGTAAAATAATCACACATTATATTTTGTTTTTCCATGACAACATCGTTTAATATAAAACTGGAATTGCGCAGGATGTTGACCACCGACGGTACATCTTCCCCGTTTTCATAGGTAAACAGCTGCACTCCTTGGACGCCGCGTAAAACACCCACGAGTAGTTGATACTTGCACTGATGCAACGATTTTGAGTAAACTTTTTCAAATCAAAGACCGATGATATCGGTCAGTAGAGTAAACATCAAGTTTGTTTTTCCACAATTTGACGACCCTAAATCAATGCACTTATTGTGTTTAGCAATAGTTTACCATGTTTACTAGGTGCAACATCATTACTTTTCTCAAAATTCACGATAGGTAGCATGATGGTCTATTTTTTGAAATGCATCGCACGCCATGGAACAGGTGTTGGAACAACGGGCTTAGGAACGAACTTTAACCATAGACGCTAAATTGCCTGAACGAGTCGCAGTTTGGGGGTTGTAACCAACTCGATGAAATTGAAACGTAAACTCAGTATGGGTTTCAAACGAATTGTGTATGCAGCCAAACTCGATACAAATGGATTTACTAAGTGTAGCAAAACAATAGTTGATGGCGGCACGGCGTGTGGTGAGAAAAAAAAATTCCACTGATCCGTAGCATAAACATTCCAAAACTAGAGGTGGTGAGCTATTGCTTATACCTATATTTGCCGGACTGTCAGTGTTGGGAGCTTTAGCCGGTGGTGCTGCAAATGTGGTCGAGATGGGTACCTAACTTAACCGTAAAGACAATACAGCGATAAGCACTGGAGTTCGTGTATTGACATCGATAAAGAATTATACGTTGAACAACAGTCTAGCTACAATTTATCGTTTGGAAACACTGGTTCGAGAACTTTATTCGGTTTATCCGTGTTTTTTAACTAAAAAAACGTGTTGACCCGCATTAAATACCTTTGAGTTTCAATGGGAGTGTAGTGCACCATCATTTGAGTGACGGCGTATACTCTACGACAGAGCAACGGATAAATCGTGTGACACTTTCACAGCAGCAACAACTAACAAAGAAAAATATCAAATTTTTAAAATCGTTGGATTGTCGAGTCAATTATGACAGAGTACTTACACGTGTTGGAAAAATGTCAGCATGACAACAGTGTAAAATGCGAGTACTATCTAGAACATCAGAGTTATAATAACTCGTATAAACATAACGATGAAATCCGTATCGAGGTGCGCAACAAGGAGAAATTCAACGTGCCGTGCGAAATTATTTTCAATCGAGGGAAAACTAGATAAACCATCAGCTGGAACAGTCAATGAAATGGTTATGCATCAAAATTTTCTCATGCACCTATTTGATGAAATCAGATTTGTGATAAATGGTAAAGAAGTAGACAAGACCAAATATGTTGGAATGGCTACAACCATCAAGAGATATTGTTCATTCATACCCAACGACATTCAACGATTTCAACCGGCCGGATGAAATATGCGCAAAATTTGCACAACAACGATTTCGTCGATGGACCGAATTTATGGCGCAGTGTCCAATGTCTATGTGCATGGGATTTTTCGAACGATACCAACGCACACTGATAAACAATACTTAGACACTTGTGTTGAATAGATCGAGTACCAACAACACTGTCATGGACCCATAGTCGTGATCGACTGTTCTAAACAAAACGATACCATCAAGTCTTCAAGGTTGATCTACGTTTGGATTTCGAATACTCTAAACAATTTTCCGATAAAACATCATTGTATGTGTAATTATTAAGTACGAAAACTCTAATGTAATTAGAGTAATACATTTGTATATGTATTTTTAATATTGTATAATTTACAATATAGTATAGAGACAAAAAATATATATTAATATATTTTTTTTCAATAAAAAACTAGTTGTTTTGTAAACTTGTTGTTTTATTCCGATCATCTTCGAATTTGACTGGAAATGTCATGCATAAGGGATCTTTCGTGTCAATTTTTGGTAAAGCATCTATTCCTAGAAATAATCTGTTTGTAGCCAATTCCAACAGATTGGAGAAGTAATACACACGATGATTTTTTTTTTAAGTATAAATTTTGTGTAGATAATCACTAAAGATAATTTTCGAGGTGTTTTCTAGACATTTACCCATAAACTCCAAATGATAAATTTCGTGAAAACACAAAAAACCGATGTTATAATTTGGGAAAAAATTATCGATTTCTCTTCGATTACCATACGAACAATTAAAGTCTGAAGTGTAACCATCATTTTATGTACAATAGGTGGACATATATGAAGCGATTGTCGATGTATTTTCTTTAATATCATATCTTTAATGAAGTGCAATTGTCAACTTCTACGAGAGCGCCGCAGGCCCGAGAATCAGACACCTTACAAGCGGCATCCTGCAAGGGTCGGTTATCAGGCCTCTGCTATGGAATATCACTTACGACGCGGTTTTCCACGTTCCGCTACCACCGCACGTGCGCGCTCAGCGAAGTCACTGCCTGGATCCAGCAGGAGGGAAGTGGACTGAGCCTTGCCCTGGTCAAGACCGAAGCGGTCATGTTCACAGGCAGGTACAAGTTCAGTCCTCCACGGCTCGCCGTGCTGGGGGTGGAGATATCGTTTAATTTTTTTTGATCCAAATTATTTATCATCGCCCAAACATCCAATTGCCTTGCACTCTCCTACATTCTTCACTGTAAAATATGATAGAGGTCGATGTTGAAGAAACTTAGGCGACACAAGGTTTTAATTATTAATTGGTGTGAGCCGTAATTTATTGCACAGATTACACAAACAAAAAAACAACGTATGAAATAAAATTATGGAAAAAGACAAAATTGTATGGTTAACAATACTAAGAGAATTAACACACGTTATATACATAATCGTATTCGTAGTAATAGGAATCCCGAAAATGCTACCGACAACCGAAAACAACGGACATGGAAGTGTCTCGGAGATGACTGACTGGACGTATTATTGCGGCGGGGTATTCGACGCTAGGCATTTGTTGGACTTTACACGCGTGTGTGTAACGGTCCGGTTTACAGTAAAGCGGTGGCTGAGAAGGAGCTGATACGACCGCGGGGTGTCAACGTGTGACAACGCCGTGGCCGTGTCAAATATTAAGGAATTTTCATTTTGGGGAAAGAACCCAATTATTAGAATTTTTCAACCATTTGTAAAACAATGAATTTTGAAACAATTTTAACTTCAATTTATGTATATATTTACGTCATTAATATTTCTAAAAATATTTTACTTTGTAGAAACCAATTTACACAGTAATATCATATTAAAAGAATCACAAATCGTAGTGTAGTTTTTATAAAAAAAATTATATTACTGTTTTTCTATTTCAATAAAGTATAAGAAATATTAAAAAAGAATTTAAGATTATTTTTCTCTTGAAAATAATACCATATAATAAATTTCGCTTTATAAAATTTAAAAAAATGTCTAAAAAAATTTTATATGAGTTTTTCTTAATTTGGCATTTAGGTCAAGTTTTAGTTGTATATTGTGATACTCAAAGTGAAGATTTCAAAAAATACGTAATTAACTCATTAAACCACATTCGTGTTCAAAATGGATGGCATTCAATTCAACAAACAGAAATTAAACTTGAGCACTTCATAATTAACACCAATAGCATCACGAGTGAAATTATCGATGTAAATAACTTTATACAAAAGCTCTTCTTTATAACTTGTCTCTTAAATTGTGAATATACCAACATAATGCAAACTTTCAATGTAATGTTAGGCCTTATTTTAAATAAGTGTGAAATGCATATTTTTAACAATCGATGTTTTCAATTGAAATATTGCACAAAGCTAATAATTAATATTTTTAATTGTTCAATAAATATGTTTAAAAAAATGTTGAAAACAGCAAAATACCTCGACAACATCGACCTACGAATTATAGACTCGACTACTCTTAATATTAAAACTGTAGATAGTGAAATAAATTATTTTTACACATACGCATTTGAGTTATGTGGTACCTCATTATTTAATTTATCTAGTAGTGATAGATTGTTCAATACTTTTGAACATATAAAAGAATTCAATAAAAAATCTGAATTAATAACATCAAATCTTTACAAAAATAGAAAAGTATGTGGAACAGAACACAAAAGTTCTATTTTAACCGATTTATTGATGAAATATAACATCGATCAAATGGATAAACTGGTTGAGGAATCCTACGATTATATTAAATATATTGATAAAGATCTTGAATTATATATATTAGGAAAAGTTGAAAATTGTATTTCAAAACTAGGTTTTGAACAACTAGACAGAACAAATACTTTCAAGTAAGATTTATAGTTCAGTACATTTAGTTGCCTAAATTTAAAAATTTTATTTTGTTAACACATAATTTTAATTATTTCTTTATTTATTTAACAGATAATAATTTTGAACAATCATGCATGACTTTTTTTTCGTTACAGGTATATTTATTTCAAATGTAGGAAGTATGGCTATAAGGAAGGTATTGCATTGTGTAATCATTTTATATCTCACGCTGGTTGGATGTCATGGAAACATATAGCTGTTGTAACTGAATATACAAAAGGAAAACCACTGTATTTCCAGGATATTGTACTAATAGTTGATAAGAATAATTATAATTTCATGAGGTCGTATCTAGCACTTATTTTAAGATGTCGCTATATTGAAATACTTTGTAATTTTAATGTAATGTTGGAACATATAATTAATGCTTGTAAATATGAAAATAAAATTAATTGTGCGATTAAGCTTTATGAAACACTTATGTTATCCAATGATATGTTTAGAAAAATGTTATTTGCTCTCATTACTTTGAGACACTACACAATGGATAATAAATGTCGACGTCAAGAATTATTAACAGAGAGACTGGTAGAGATTTTTATTGATTTTCTTAATGATGTTAGAAAAAAGTATTTTTCCACATTGTTATTTATTAATGATGAACTTTATGAAGCTCAATCGTTTCTTGAAGACCTAGCACACGTTCATACTTCTGTTTTACAGAGAAAATTTTATGACGTAAATCAATACAACATGAAATATTGCAAAATTATAGAATATGAAACAGACATAATTACAACATTTGAACAATTGATTAAAACCAATACCTTAACAGAATATAGTATTATCCATCATGTTATGTGTGATTATTTGGAATCATTTGTTTTAGAGGTTGTGAAAAATGATTATGAGTATTTAGGTTTCAATGATTTGTCTTTATATTTTGATTAATTATTTATAAAATATTTAATATTGATTTTTTATTCATGACTTAATAAAATATTGCAATTATGTTATTATAAAATAATTAATTTTTTTTAAAAATAGTTGTAATACAACAAAAGTTGTCGCTCTTCTTTTTTGTATATTTGTATATTATGGTAATATTTTACTTTGCTTGAGTCGATTTTCGAACGTATAATCGCCGTGCTTTATCAGTAATATTATGCTTGGTGGTCGGTGGATACTCGAAGACGTTAAATGTATTCTCTAATCATAAAAGTTTTAGGCATAATAATATTTTTTTATATAAGTCTTTCTTTTTTTCTCTCTCTCTCTATTCTTTCTGTTCTCTCTTCTTTTTCTTCTCTTTAATGTTAGACGAGGGTTTTCGGATTTTTTCTCATGTGAATTTATATATTTAAAAAAAATAATATAATTTTCAGAATTATTTAGAGACTAGTTCTATTTGACTTAGTTGCTTATTGTTTTTTGTATCACTAGGTCATTTTCCAAAATGCCAAAAAAAATTTGAAGTAAATTAAAAAATATAATTGCACAGTTATTAGATATTAAAAGCTTTTATTTCACGTTACATGCGTAGCTCACATGTTTAACAGGGTTGTATAAAAGGCCAGAGAAATGTATTCTGACATAAATAAATAAATTAGTAATATATACAAATTATTTCCAAAAGCTCCGTATATTATTAAGTGTACAAAGAAATATTACCTGTTATTCCGTTGTTACTTGTAGATGGAAATTCGATGCAAATTTGTAGATAGTGTTTAATTCTAAGAAATTGGTGGGTAATTGAAAAATCAACATAAATTCCTATTTTCTTAATATTCTGATTAGTTGTTCTTTGATTTAAAAGTATAATATATGAATAAATAATAATTTTAGTAATAAAATTTAGTATGAAATTGTATTCAATAATTTAATATTGCAATTTATACGGAGAAATTATAAAAATAATAAAATAGTTGTATATTTCTTTACTTTTAACGTGTATTTAAATTTAAATTTTTAATTTAAAGGGATTGATGCAATACTTTTCAATGATAAATTTTTGTTACTTATAAATAAATACACTGGACTACAAGGAATTTTCATTAGAAGCAAAAATATACTTATCTAAATTAACTTTTCGTGCTGCTTTTAGATCTAAAATTAGACTTTTTCTATCACTCTCTATCACTTTTGATATTATTACTAATTATACATAAAATAATAAATAAAAAAAAAATTGATTATGTTGACATAAGTTTTAGCTCAACTTGCTAGTTTGAAATTGACATCATTAAATAGAAACACTAAGCATATTATTGATATTTTTAAATGTTCGTACAAACGGTTAATAAGATAAATTATTATATCGTACGGTCATGTTTTTTACTTATTTTAAGATGTTGCTATATTGAAATATTTCATAAATATACATTTTTATTTGTTTTCTCTACAATTTTCTATCATACAACCGAAATGGCCCTTTGATTATTGAAGCCGTAAAAAATCAATATCCTCATGAAATATACATGAATATTCATTAAATTGAATACAATAGCACGAACAATATCAAATAAATCTTACATTTGGCCTATACATTTTTGTGTCTCTTATTCTGTATAAGTCAATAATTATTGTTTTATTTTTCTTAAATTTCCTAGTTCTTCGTATTTTTTTAAATTTTCTTACAACATTAGCAGGATCTTGTGTGTCTAAATAAGCTTTTTTCCAAGTATGTTAGGTATTTGTCAACCACAAACGCCATGCTTTCATGCAAATTTAAATTAAAACTCTTAAATTATAATATAACACGATTAAAAAAAATTGTTTATAGAGACAAATTTACTTGCAGTAATTTGATATTAAATTTCAAATTATTAATTATTTTGATTTTTAATATATTAAAAGTAATCACTTTTAACCTACTTTTTTTTGTTCTTTTAAGTGGAAGTTTATAATAAAAAAAAAAAAACCTGTAAAGGGAACACCCTAAGAGAGAAATATAAGAACCAATTATAATATTAAAATATATCTTATAAACTAATTAACGAAGGTTTCATTGGTGTCTTCGATGATTTCATGGATAATTGGCGTTTTCCGTTCAATAAAAACTCCATATCCAGCAACGATTCAAAAGCTCCATAATCCGGAAATAAAATCACAGTTGATCAATCAGCAACCTGAACCGTTACTATCAGTGAAACGCATATCCCCTGAATTTGTGACTGAGTGTTGCGACGTCTGACAATTACCCCCCATTCCGGTTCTAAACAATAAAAAAATAGTTATCAAAAGTTAAATTTTTAATAAAAATAAATATTAATAGAATTTTTAAAAACATTGAAATTTAAGATTTGTGTGCAATAAAATTACACATCCTGCAGGGTCGCCATTCTGAGAGGTGACGACTTGAGCCACACAACGGAATGTAGAGTCGCCACTCTCATACCTCCCTTACAAAAAGAAAGTCGGGTCGCCAACCACTTAGGCGAGGGTCTCGATAAAAAAAAAATAACACTCGGATCATAAGTGGATTTAAAAAAAATTAAACAAGAAGTAAACCAAATAATATTAAATGAAATAATATACAATATGATGAAACCAAGTAGATCGTTGAATAAATGTATATATATATATACTAAAATATAAAGTGTTGTTGTAGACTATGCTGGTGCCTTGTAAATAAAACAAAATATGTTTATAAAATATGTGTACTCCGAGCACGACGGATAATTTTTGTAATCGGGCTGGCCGAACCGTACTAGGCTGTATTAAGTACACATGACACACCACTAACCAATAACCTTGTATTTTACCAATTATAGTAAATCATAATTAATCATGAATAATAATAATGTATATTATAATAGAGAATACATATTAATATAAAAAAAAAAAAAAAAGAAGGCTCAAAACATTAAGATTAATAAAGCAAATACGATACCAAGTCCCGGATAAGACTCATCCGAAGACGGGGATCTCGGCCCCGGAAAATGACCGACGCTATGTTAAAGATAATACATCTTAACAAAAAATATTACACACGAAAATAAATAATGTTGGCTGCAAGCACACAGCAAAAGTACCACGACGGTGGTTAAAAAGGAAGAGTGCGTCAATCTTTTTACACACAGTGCAAGACACACCGACGACGACGATCACGTTAGGGAGAGGATATCGGCCTAACAATTTACAGAATATAAAAAAGATAAAAGTATAGACAATATTAAAATTATACAGGTATTGACAGTGGTGGCCAGTGTATGTGTCATATAGGGAACGATTATTAAATTGATAAAGAATATTGAGTTTATAGCCTTGACAGCACAGTTTTCTGATTACACAGACGGATATAACGTACGCGAGCCAATTAACAAAGCAAAACAGTAAATTTATCTATACCATAATAAATTAATAGATATTAATGTTCACATTTTGTTGTGTTACACAATAAAATCTTCAAATCTTAAACAAAATTAATTTATAATATATTTTTTGTAATTGCGAAAAATAACATAAAACATATTTTAAATATAGTTCTATATTGTAAAAATTTATTAAAAAAAAAATATATAAAATGTTATGTAGATCATAAGTTATATGAGTTGTCAGTTAGATCTGTTCCACTCTGTATATCTGTGATTATTTTTCACCAGCTTATTTTTAAGGAAAACAAAATCTAATAATTTAATTAATAAATTTTAATTATTTTACAAATTAACATTATTGATGTGCAAACAACCTATATTCCCATTAAAATTTAATCGCTACTTTTTTAAACATGAATGATAACTTCTCTCATTACAAATAATGTAATTGTAAACTGTTCTCCCTGTGGATAGGGTATAAGAATACTTCCACGGCCTCTCTACCAGTCATAAGAAGCGACTAATGAGGTTGTGTCAGGTCGACAGCCGGCGTAAAAATCTTTGTCAAAGAAGTATGAAGAATCCTGAACAAAACTTAGGCGGATTGTCCCATCTCGGATGTACGCGGGGACAACAGAAAGTAGTTAAAAACGGAGAAGGCCTAAGTAATAAAGTGTTTGATACCAGCCGGACAACTTGTGCGGTGCTGTATCACCAGTCATGTTTACAGGTATACCCTACGCTTGTAGTGTCAACGGTGTAGGGACATCACCACTTAACTCTAGGCTGGACTCGTGTATAAGGGAGAAAGATAGATACATAGTAAGAATAGATACTTGAATGTTGGAACATTAACTGGTAGATGTAGAGAATTAGTAGAAGTATTGAAGTGGAAAAAAGTTAACATTTGTTGTGTGCAGGAAACTAAGAGAAAAAGAGAGAAATCAAGGGAAATAGGTGAGGGTTATAAAATAATATACTCAGGTAAGTTTAGTACAAAGAATGGTGTAGGAATAATAATGAATAATAATAATAATAATAATGAATAATAATAATGAAAAGTAGAGTAGTAAAAGTAGCTAGGAAAAGTGACAGAATTATGTTCGTAAAATTGATATTCGAAGAAAAAGTGCTGAATGTAATAAGTACCTATGCACCACAAGTGGGATGTGATGAAATAGACAAGGAAGTATTTTGGAAAGAGATGAATGAGGTGATGCAAGGGGTGCCTGGCAATGAGGATGCGGTAATAGGAGGAGATATGAATGAACATGTAGGTAATGAGAGGAGAGGATATGAAAGATTACATGGAGGGTATGGTTTTAGTGGGAAGAATGAGGCTGAGGAAAGAATACTGGATTTCGCAGTATCGTATGATCTTGCTGTGGCTAATACTGTAACGTGACAAAAAGTATCTGTTTATTTTTTTTATCTATTTGTATATATATATTTGTGTTCTGAATTATGTTAGTTAAGCCGAATGCGTACTGCGACGGCATTTATCAGTTAAGTAATCATGATAAGATGTTGTAATTTGTTTGTGCGCGTGCAAGATAGTCAGCTGCGTACTACTTCGGACCGGTTAATGAACGGCATTTGTGTGTACATTCACGCCGCTCCTTTCCTATCTTGAAC